GAATTGAAGGTATCCTCTGTATATTATCAGACCATAGTGCAATAAAATTGGAGATCACTGTCCAATAGCATAACAAATAGCATAAGAAACTGCAAAACCCCCACGAACACATGGAAATTGAAGAACACTCTCCTGAACAACCAATGGGTCCCAGAGGAAATTAAAGAAGAAATTAGGCAGTTTCTACAAGTAAATGATAATGCCAGTATAACATACAGGAATTTATGGGACACAATGAAAGCAGTTATATGAGGGAAATTCATAGCAGTAAATGTCCATATTAGGAAAACAGAGAGAGCTCAAATAAACAAACTAATGCTGAACCTTAAGCTCCTAGAAAAAGAAGAGCATGATAAACCCAAAGCTCACACAAGAGAAGAAATTATAAAGATCAGAGCAGAACTCAATGCAATGGAGAGTAAGAGAACGATACAAAAAATTAATGAATCAAAGAGTTGTTTTTTTGAAAGAATAAAATCGATAAACCTTTAGCCAACCTTATCAAAAAAAGAAAAGAGAAATCTCAAATCCATGCAATTAAAAATGAAAAAGGTGAAGTCACAACAGATCCAGCAGAAATCCAGAGGATCATCAACACATACTTTGAGAACCTGTACTCTAATAAAATGGAAAACACAAAAGAGATGGACAGATTCCTAGACACATACAAGTTGCCAAAGTTAAATGAAGAAGATACAGAAATTCTAAACATGCCAATTACAATGAATGAAATTGAAAATGTAATTTAAAATTTACCAACACTGGCTGGGGATTTAGCTCATTGGTTTTGCCACCTGCTGTACAAGCGCAAGTACCCAAGTTTGATCCCCAGCACACACACACAAAAAAATTTACCAACAACGAAAAACCCAGGTCCTGATGGCTTCACTGCTGAATTCTACAAGACATTTAAATAAGAACTGTCACCATGACTCTTGACTCTTTAAAGTCATCAATGAAATTGAACAGGAAGCAATACTTCCAAATTCATTTCTGGAAGCAAGAGTTACTTTAATTCCAAAACCAGGGAAAGACCCAACCCAAAAAAGAGAACTACAGGCCAAGCTCCCTAATGAACCTAGGTGCCAAAATCCACAACAAGATACTGTCAAACAGAATATAGAGGGTCATCAAGAAGATCTTACACCCTGACTAAGTCGGATTTATCCCAGGGATGCAGAGATGGTTCAACATATGTAAATCAATAAATGTAATAC